GTTGATGCTTAGTTTATTTTGTCATTCTGATCGGATTTTCTCTACTGTTCTGTTTAAATTTTATATTGTTTGCATTATGTGGCCGTTTGATGTTTTTATGGGTTTTTCCCATTTGCCCTTTTAAACTTAAAAATGATAAATACAGTTAACTGACAGTGTAACAGTAAGGTAAATATATCAAGCATTAAAATATAGATAATAGTAAAGCAGCTACAGTAATATATAGGCATAATGCATACAGTATGGGGAAAAACGGAAGTCAATGACGAGAAATAATTATTGACGGTAAAGTGCGAGGAATCCTCGGCCTAGTTCTATACAGTCTAATTGCGTAATTATTTGTTGTTCTGCTATTTCTCGTTCTAAACTATTTTTGAAAAATTCGTTCTTAACTACTTGAACTTTCATATTGTTTACTGAGTGACCAGAAGATGCAAACTGATTAGCTATATGTTTTTGGGTGAGTTTGTGTTTGATGTCATGTATACCATTAATCCGTTGTATAAGATTTTTCCTGTTTGGCCAATATAGAAAGCATTAAGGCAAATATTACATGATATAGCATATAATAAGTTGGATGACATGCAGTTATAAGTGCCTGTTATGTTAAAATTGTTATTAATTGTACTAGTGTACTATCTCGAAACGAAGCCCATCCTATCTTAAAAAAAAAAAAACAAAAACAAAAAAAACCATGGGCTCCTTTTCGAGAAGGGCTTCTTTTCAAAGCTGCAGTTGCAAACTAAAGAAGGGGCTTCAATTCGAGACGGGCTTCTTCTCGAGGTTATTAAGCTCATTGGGCTTCTATTCTAGGTTTATAAGCATATTATATTATAAAACCGTGTCCTAAATTTAAAAAAAGTTAGAGAAGTTTGTCGCAAGAGGGCGCCAAAGAGTTTTTTTTTGTTCTCGGGGGAGCGCAGGGGACGATCAGGACATAGAGGAGGATCGAGCAGGTTACATCTGTCGACGATTGAAGATCACCAGGAACAGGCCTATCTTCTGAGGGACCAAACTACTGTTTTGTGGAGCTACTTTCTCTTGGGGTTATGCTACCTAGGCTAGGTAACCAGGTAGTGATCGAAAGTACTTAACTAGGTCTAGGCCTATTAGATAGGCCCTCCTTGCTACTTCTCTAGCAACGCCTCTACTACTACTAGGCTAGGCCCTAATACTAACTAAGGCTAGGGCCTAGGCTAGGGCTACCTAGCTAGGCAAGGCCCTATTCAGTAATAGGCTTAGGGCCTGGGCCTAGTACCGTTACCTTATACTTACTGATGTACGGTAGGCCTATTCATGCAGGCCAGCGGACAGGCTATATCCTGTCAATCTAGGCCTGATCACGTACTGACAACGTGGACGTTAGGCCCTACCACCAGCCTGTCTGAGTGAGCCCTGGCCTAGCCTACCACTTGCACCAAACACTTGGTTGGTATTGTTTGTACACTTTCTGATTGAGTTTCACTTCACCAAAGTTGCATTGCAGGACCTTAGCTGACTCTAAATCCGGTAGCCTAAATTTTGGTCGGTTTTAACATTGTTCACACTAGGGTGGCCCTGAGGCGGTGTATGTAACTATTAAGTGTGATTGGGCTCTTAGTGATTGAAGGAAGCAGGGCAGTGCGGGGACTGTCTCTTCCCTTATTTGCATAATTTGTGTGTATGTCTAGTGTGTAAAGTTGGCTAACTATAAACTTTTAAATGTTGAAGTTTGTTGAGCTAACAACATGATGTAATTTCCACCTCCCTAGTTCTAGGCTTTCAATGAATTAGTTGCAGGTACAGTAGTTGGAAGAAATCATAAGTCATGGCATCAAGAGGAAAAACAGAAACCGATCGTCTGCAGCAGAACCTGGAGGAGCAGTTGGATAGGTTGATGGCACAACTACAAGACTTAGAAGAATGCAAGTATGTAATCTGTATTCTTTTTATGCAGGGGTGGCCATAAATCAGGGCCTAGTTCAAACTTAATTTTTCCAGTGCGCTTGCAAAAACATTCATGTGAACCAGCATTTATACAGCTTTATGCTCCGTTTTAATAACATTTTTTACAGATTATTACCATCGGGCCGTAAAAGGAAGGGGATTCCTAGCCAAAGATGGTAGGCATTTCTGTTGTGGGCCTCAACAAAATTGTTGTTGGCCGCACATGGCCCACCCTTTGGCAACATGTGTATTCATGAGTCATTTTCTCAAAACATTCTCTTTCCTGTTAAACAAAACCAGCATATTTCTATCTTGGCATTGATTGAGCATTGTGCTAACAATAACATATCCTTTTGATATATTTTTAGAGAGGAATTAGATGAGGACGAGTATGAGGAAACAAAACAAGAAACAATTGAACAATTGAAGGAGTTTAAGGAGAGTTTAAACAAGATGGCAGAGGGCAATATGACTCTAGTGGACAACATCAATGGCATTCAATTGGTAAGAATTCCAATATTTGTTGAACTGCAGTTCAGTTCAGACACTCAGTGCAATGCAAACAACATCAGAAATTGCATTCAATACACTGATCTTCCAAGCAAATACCTAGCAAAATTGTCTTTTATTTCATTGAACAAACAACAACCAGACTTTATTTGAAAATTTTATGTAGTTTTAATAATATAGTTTATTGAGTACATTGAATTGAATAAAACAAATTTCAAAGCCTGTTGTATTCCCACTTTATTGTTTTCTTTTTAAAATTTAGACTTTGGATTATAGATGTCAATCTTAATTAATTGGGGGGAGGGGGCGAGATCCCCGATGAGACGATGTCCCCAACAAGAGCAAAGAGGGTGTGGTCGGGGTTGCTCAAAATTGCCTCTGAAAATATGACAATTTAAGAGTCTCAAAGGCTTATTTAATTGATTTTCTCTAATATGTAGTAAATACATATATATTTTCTCTCCCCAACAAATTGTGGTTTTTCTCCCCTCCTCCATATATGTTACTTGTAATATTAGATTGTGTTATCCAAATATTACTTGATTATTGATCATGACCCTAATGTTAGTACTACAATATATATTAATCTGATTACTGGATTGGATATTTATCCTAATTTTGAAATCTTTAGGCAATTCAAGCAGCCATCAGTCAAGCTTTCAAGACCCCGGAGGTCATCAAACTTTTTGCTAAGAAACAGCCAGGTCAACTACGGCAACGTTTAGCTGAGGTATGTCATTTTTTAGGTTGTTTACATGAGATGATATATTAATAAATATCATTTCAAATGTTCAGTTCCCTGACACTCAATACTGTCCTATAACTTCCTAGTGGAAAGTCTCTAATTGCGTTCCTTATTGTTTTATATATTATATAGGTACATTATACAATATTACATACTATCTGAATTGTATTAAAGATTAATAGAAAACTAATAATATGCAGTGTTATAAATCTTAGGCTTCCATCGAACTAGTTACATATACAATATTATATGAGTGGTTTAGATTTTAAACTTTTAAACCAAAGGTTCTTCTTTTATATTTCTTAGATTGATCGTGATGTGAAAATAGGTAAATTACCTTCAGAAATCCATGTACAGCAGAAACTTGAAATACTCACGGCACTCAAGAAACTCGGTGACAAGGTTTGAGAAATTAAATTATAATAACAACTAGTAAATCAAAGAAAAGTTCTGTCGCCCATAAAAATGAATGTACGGTACATCAATGTACTGTAAGCAGTACAGAAAAAACAAAGAAACGTAAACTGAAGCAAATTTTTAAAACTTTGGGTATATGAAAAGGAATACCACAGAGCTCTCATCTATTTCTTCTTGATGTATAAACTAACATGCCACAATGTTTGATCTCCTTTTTAGCTACAACCTCCTGAAATAGCGTTTCTAGCGTCAAATTCCAGCCAAGCAATGTCTGATTTTGAAAAAGTTACAAGTGATCTAGGTAAGTATCTTTTGCTCTTATGTACCACCTAATATACAATTTTTACAATCATTAATCATAAAATCTCAGGAATATTACTCAAGGACCCTGACCAGAGGCCTCTTTGTAAAATCCCTCTGACGATATACCTACCTACTTACTCCCTCCTCCCCTGGTTTATTAAATTGCAAAGTATTAATATTAATAATATGTAGGTTTTTATATAGCGCTCTACACAATATTATTACCCCAGTCATTGGAATGATGCCTGTCGCGGAAATATCAGTGCATTTTGCTCTCAAACCTCCTCAGGTACACACTTATACTCTTGGGTGGGGAGAAGCAATGTAGGACACAAGCGAAATGCACCCCCGACTTTTTGGTCGGCAAACCAAACTGTTGCTGCTGCGCCAAACCACTTCTACACTAATCTACTATTTTAAAACGATACAGTATTGCAAAATCAGTTCTTGTCCTAATCCCATCTACAGTGCTTTTACTCCCTTCCTCTCTTTCCTCATCCCTAATAATTTTTTTAATCTTTATTTTGAAATGAAATTTCTTTTATATTTCATTTTCAGCGTCAGAAGACAAATTGTTTTGAAAAGACGATGCAATAATTACTACCAAATTTGGACAGTTAAGTTTGACTAATGAGATTGAAGTATTCACAGGTTTCATTCCATTATGGGAACAGTGGCTTATCTAGAAGTCTTGAAATGGGGGTGCTGATGGGGGGAGGGGCGCTAAGGTGAAGTAGGGGCTGTATGATAAGTTAAAAGGGGCGCTAACTCGCAAAATAACGTGATTTTTAACTGCTTGCAAGTGATTTTGGGGGGGGGGCGCAAGTTATTTTTTGAGGGGAGTGTTCCCCACCCCCGCGCACACCCCATAGATACGCCACTGTAAGGGAACTGTTGATCATGATTTACCTCATATAATAATGGAATTTCCCCCTTACTATATTTTTAGGGAAATTGTATCTTTGCCACTACATTAGTTATATTTAAATTATGTGAAACTGTAGTTCAATCTATTCCCTTATGGGATGTTTGTAATTAGTAACTAAGGTATTGGTTTCGGCTTCTTTCAAAACTAGTTTTTGTTAGATGATTTCATTAATTCTAATTAAGTGCTATTTACTTACATTTTTAATATTTTTTGTTTTTGCATGTTTTTGAAAATTAATTCTCTGGAATAAATATTCGATTTTATTTTATAAACTATTGTAATGTTTGTGTATGTATAAGTATCATAATTATTATAACATATTAGTAATAGGTCCAATGCAATACGTTTGTTCCTCTAGACGAGGTTTTATTTCTGAATACAACATAGGCCTACAGCCTACTTTACATACATTTTATAAAACATATGATCCATTTGTGTTTTTCCCATCTTGTAAGCAAATAAACATAACATGCTCCTTGTTTTGACTAAACTAAATACCAGACACTAATAAATTAAATTTATCTACATAGTAAAGTACAGCAGAATTTAAAAATAACATTTGTGAGCTGGATCTGGAGTTACTCCAAAGAAACATATACCCACATCAGTTTTATTGAACTGACTCCTGTTTCAATTTCAACTGTTTGCAAAATGTCTGTGCTAACCATTATATTATGTGGCAATACGTTCCAGTGAGGTATCAACCACGGGAAGAAGCTAGTGGCATAAGTCGTTTTAACGCGTATATGCATGTATGGAGAGACTTTTTTATAGCTTGTTTAGTAAACCCATCTGCCGTCGCCCGCCACCACAAAAAAAAAAAATGGAAATTTGAGAAAAAAATACAAGTTTTTTCTCCCCGCCACTGCTTTGAAATCTCCAGAAATACATACAGTATATAGTAATAATAATTACTACCAAATTTGGACAGTTAAGTTTGACTAATGAGATTGAAGTATTCACAGGTTTCATTCCATTATGGGAACAGTGGCTTATCTAGAAGTCTTGAAATGGGGGTGCTGATGGGGGGAGGGCGAAAAGGTGAAGTAGCTGGATCGATTGATTAATTGAGGGGCGCTAATTCGCAAAATACGGTGATTTTTAACTATTTGCAAGTGATTTTTGTGTGGCGACTTTTTTATTGGAGGGGCACGAGCCCCCACGCAACCTTCAACCCCCCTGGTCATTGGGTCCTCATGCTTAAGTGCTGCTGCCATATTGGCGCATACCTGACGCTATTCATCGATGCCATGCCCTCCCACAAATAATTTGTAAGATGGTAATTATATATCTTAATTCCTGCACAGTTGTTTTAAATAAAAAACAAGAGTTATATAATTTCAAATGTACTGTATATTTACCTCACAACCTACTGTTATTGTAGGGGGCAACTAAGATACAGTACTAAAGTTTAAAAAAAATGGGCAGGGCTTCGCCGTATGTCATGGCTTTTTAAGAAAAATGCTATGACTGGAAAACTTATATTGTATATACAATTACAATTATTGGAGACAACTAGGATATTAAAGGTTTTTTTAAATTAAAATGTTACCACACAAAATGAACATTTTATGTTGACTTTAATTTAAATAATTAAGATAACCTTGCCTAAATCCAAATAATTCCTCATTGAAACATTGTAGTGTAACATATTGTGAATCTATGTTAAAGGAAAATAGAGGATAGTTTAATTGAATGACCCATGACTAGTCCCACATTTACGACACTCTCAAACTTTAAAAGGTATTGGTTTCGGCTTCTTTCAATACTAGTTTTTGTTAGATGATTTCATTAATTCCAATTAAGTGCTATTTACTTACATTTTTAATATCTTTTGTTTTTGCATGTTTTTGAAAATTAATTCTCTGGAATAAATATTGATTTTATTTTATAATCTATTGTAATGTTTGTGTATGTATAACTATCATAATTATTATAGTACTGTATAACATATTGGTAATAGGTCCAATGCAATACGTTTGTTCCTCTAGACGAGGTTTTATTTCTGAATACAACATAGGCCGACAGCCTACTTTATGTACATTTTATAAAACATATGATCCATTTGTGTTGCCAAATGTTTTTTTCCCATCTTGTAAGCAAATAAACATAACATGCTCCTTGTTTTGACTAAACTAAATACCAGACACTAATAAATTAAATTTATCTACATAGGAAAGTACAGCAGAATTTAAAAATAACATTTGTGAGCTGGATCTGGAGTTACTCCAAAGAAACAGATACCCACATCAGTTTTATTGAACTGACTCCTGTTTCAATTTCAACTGTTTGCAAAATGTCGGTGCTAACCATTATATTATGTGGCAATACGTTCCCGTGAGGTATCAACCACGGGAAGAAGCTAGTGGCATAAGTCGTTTTAACGCGTATATGCATATGTATGGAGAGACTTTTTTATAGCTTGTTTAGTAAACCCATCTGCCGTCGCCCGCCACCACGAGAAAAAAAATACAAGTTTTCCCCTGTCACTGCCTTGAAATCTCCAGAAATACATACAGTATATGTATATTTCTTCCTAATTATATAAATTTAAAGCAATTACCATCCCATGACATTTTATTATTTTTTTTTTATTTTCTCCTCCATCTGGATGTTTTTGGTAAAACCATTTCCACCCTCTGAATATCTTTAAAAAAATAAGTTTGCAAAACAAGGTATAAAAAGTCTCGCCTAAAATGGACAAATTAATGTAAAATATGATTCATTACTATTGTACTAAATCAATATTGATTATAAAATAATTACTATTATCATTGTTATTAATATGATTCATTACTATTGTACTAAATAAATATTGATTATAAAATAATTACTATTATCATTGTTATTAATATTTTTTATTAGAACTTTTGTCCATGCATATCATGCAAATTAATAAACTATTAAAAACATGAAATCAAATTTGTCGTGTTATTTAGAGTCTAAATGTTTTCAGAGTGGGTTAAGAATCTTGTTTGTGCACTTGCCGCCACGTAAAGATGAAGATGAGCATTCACTGGGTTGTCTTCAGCACTCTGCTTCACATGTTTTTACTTTCTGCTATGATTAAGTAATTAAATGTAAACTGGGGCTGGGGGTGTGGCAGGGGTGCTGGTCTTGAAATCATATACTGTAACTTAAATAATATAAAAAATCAAATGTTAAATTTTATTGTTTAAGTTTATTAACAACAATTTAGGATCAAACTGATAAATACGTCTCAACATTACAATATTGAAATATAAATTAATAAAAAAAAATGTATTTAATGAAACCTATTGGAAACTCTTAAAAAATAATTACAAAAATATTCATTCTTTTATTTAAGCTTGTATATAATAAGCACAGTTTATAAAAATTGTATAATGCACTTCAGGGGCTACAGAACAACTGTGCTAGGCTCTGCTAGGCTTATCAAACACACTTAGAAGTGGTAGCGCCTCACCCCGATTCCAATCTCCACTGGTTACCAGTGCAACTCGGGATTCATTACAAGATAGCACTTCTGACTTACAAGGGCCTTAGTAAATCATGTGCAGTCCGTCTCAAATCTGTTATCGGCATATACAGTTGAACTTGCAGTCGAATCCAAAATGCCATTGAAAAATTGTTCAATTTAGATAACATTTGACTTAATACAGATTGTTAATTAATGAAAACACAACAATTTGGCATGTAAAATAAATTTGACTTAGAAATTAACTGTGCAAGTTTAACTGCAAGGTCGCTTTGATCGCCTTCTTAACTGAACACAATACTAAGAATAACTGGGGAAATAGATCATTTCTTGTTGCTGCTCCCAAAATCTGGAATTCTCTGCCCATACACATCAGGCCTGCAGAAAAATATCATTATATTAAAGTCCAGACTAAAGAAACATCTGTTCGACCAGCACTTCCTTAATTAATTCTCATCTTTCTTGCACTATTATCTTAAATTTTCCACTCATATTTTTCCGGAGCCTTATAAATATCCACTATTATTATTATTACAGTAAAACTACAGCTTACTTCATAAATTATATTCAATATTTTCTTCAGTCATAATTTTATTTTCATATATTGTTTGTTTTTTTAATTAACATTTATAAATTACTGAAAACCGCATACACAAAATTAGTTTTCACAAATTACAAATATCCCAATCAGTGGCCACAGTCCATATCATATTATGTCATAGGCCAATAACATTTTACACAATTATAGCGATCCAAAATACAAAACAATTTTACAAATGAGAATATTTCATGTCAGCTGGTTTGATTAATTGATATATTACTTGTGGTCACATGACCAATCGGTGGCCAATCAGGATCATTCATAATTTCACGTTCAATAGTTTTATACACATTCTTTGAGATGTTCTTCTTACGACATGGTTTGATCAACGTCTTGATAAAACTCTTTCCCATCAGCCACTACAAAAAAAAAAAAAAAAATTATATATACGATCAGAACTGTGTCATTTTCAAAGTGCTTTAAATTTATATAGCGCAAAATACCAAAAAGTTTCTATGTGCTGTGTAGAGATGTTTCGAAATGTGATAGAATGAAGATGAAAGATGAAAATTCCAAGCCAAGCCAGCACCCAAACCGCAGTATGGGGATACACCCTTGTCGCTAACCAGGGATTATGTATGCTAAAGCATTACAGCACAGATCTTAACTTTTTTATTGTCATTCTGTGAGATAATAATCAATCTCATAGTTCTGGTACTAAATCTAAAAAAATATTGTTTACTTATAGTTCAAATATTAAAACATTCTATTAATAAAGGAATTAATAATGCTGCACTGCAGTCACCAAACATGTACAAGCCAAGTACAAGGTTGTACATAAGAATGTGCAAAACATTGGATTTTTATTTGTTTTATTTATTTAATAAACACACAAATATATAGAACCAACAGGAGACAAACACCTCTAAAGTGGCTCGCTCCTTATAATAAAAATACAAAAATAGAAATATAGATACATAAAATAATAGTATAAGCACCAAAACAATAAAATTTGGGAAAAAAACCCAACAAAACAACAATAAAGGCATAAGCATAATCATAAAATATGGATAGTAAGGTTAATAATTGCCACAGTTTTACATTGATCATTTTCACCATAATCATTTTTATAAATAATATAATAAAAACTATAAAAACAATAAAGTAATAAGGCATAATAATTTATTATATACTGAGAACCAATTACTGTGTATGGTTTTTCACTTATTGGCAAGAAGCGTAAGGAATGGATGCTGGTGTACTACCAGGCCTGAGTGAATAGTGCAACTGAATAAATCCTCTTCAATGAGAAGAAAAAAAATCAAGTTATTTATATTTACCTCAAGTGCAAATGTTGAAACTGCATTGACGATAATGATGGCAAATATCAACCAACAGAATTGGATGTGATCCGGACCAAGTTGATAGACCTCAAAGAAGTTTGTAAGGAATGATAGGTAATAAGGGTAGAAGAGCATAAAGGATGTGTACGCAGACAGGACGATCAGAGAAATCAGGAACAACACTAGAATAACGAAAATGATATAAAGGGCATTTTTGTGATGGATATTCATATTTAATTTTTTAGATAAGTTCCTTATTGTGGCTTAACTACAGATAATTTTTTAACAAATTGACTACTAAACTAATAAACTAATATTTTTTAAATTGGGCATTAACATTTATTGATTATTTCATATTTAAGCTATAAAATTGACCTATGTACTATATTCAGATTTAGGGCCTAATCCAAAATCAATTAAAGAAATATAATTGGTGTAGATATACATTTTATGAATCCTCACCATTATGCCATATCGGGGTCCGGTACGGTGGTCCCTTGGAGAATGCTGCGGCCACAATAAAGTACTGGAAAGAAGAGACTAGGAACACTATGGTGTTTTCGGGGCACAGGATGTTCTTATCTGCATCTTCACTTGGTACAAGTGGATTGAACCTACCAATGGATTTGTATGTAATATTTTGCTCTACACTACTATGCTAGGCATATCTTTGTGATGGTTGTGTTTTAGATCAAAGAAACACTCACATAATTATTATGGTACATCATCAGCAGCATCAATTTTAGTCCAGCATCATCAATTTTAGTCCAGCATCCTCAAATTTAGTCCAGCATCATCAATTTTAGTCCAGCATCATCAATTTTAGTCCAGCATCCTCAATTTTAGTCCAGCATCATCAATTTTAGTCCAGCATCATCAATTTTAGTTCAGCATCATCAACTTTAGTCGATCATTATAAACTTCATCATTTATCATCATATTCATCACAACCACACCACCAGCATTATTGTAACCATTCTCCATGTCGTCGACCTCCTCTTCCTTGTTGCTGGCTTCATCATCATTCTCTTTATTATTACCACCTACACCAGCATTATTCTCCTTATCATTATAATTTGTCATCCTCAACGTCATCACAATTATCATAAACTTCACCTTCATCAGTATCATCACAGTCAGTATTATCATCGTCTTTATTATTTTCATTACCATACTTACCAGTCTTGTGTGAACAATAAAAAGTAAGCAACTGTCTGTCCGATGATCTGGATTACAATCTGGAGAATGATGGAGATGAGGATAACGGGTGACATCAAACTTCCAGGTGGTCGCTTCTTCACAAGGTGTGCATAGGCACCATTGTATCCCACTAAACAATACAGCACAGGTGTTGATTTAGAATTCAAATATTAATAACATATCAATGTTTGTTCAAGTTCTTTACCCTTTTATATTTACAGTGCAAAGATTACAAAACAGCATGAACTTTATTAACTTTTGTTTCTTTTGTTTATACTTTTCATTTACTGTTGTATTGCACATTAAAGCTTTTTGAGAAATGTGATAAATATATTAAGTGGGGTATGATTATTGAATATGTCATCGGGAAACCTAAAACAGTATATTGTAAATATTAATATTAAGAATAAAATATCTGAAATAGAATAAGAGGAACAGTACTTACTTAAGATAGCAACTGTAGTTGTAATAACAAGGTCTACATAAAGGTATTGAATATCACCAAGATTAGAATTTATCTAAAAGATAACAAATAGCAAAATATTAAGAGCCAAATTCTAAAATTTTCATGCAACAAAGTACATTAAAAATACTGTTGAATTAAACTAACATATATTCCATACTTGCTTTATTTTGTGTGCTTTTTGTCTTTAAACACCACTCAGTGTCACATAACACATACCACTGCCCCCATTAATTTGAATGTTGAGATATTTAAAACCATTAGTACAGTACATTTCAAAACTGCAGCCCATACACATTAGCTCTCCCCTACTTCATTTTAAAACCTGTGTTTGAGAATGATGTTTAACAATGGTAGCATATACAGACAGGAGACCTGCACAACACTTACCCAATAGAGAATCATAACTGAGATGAATTGTATCAAACTATAGAGAGCCATGTACTTGAAGACTCCAAATGACGTCACAAGAGCTGCTCTACCTTCCCTGATAAAAGTACAAGATTAAAGATTCAATGATTACATTGCTATTTGAAACATCACATATCCACATAACAAGACCATCACAGGTCATAGAGTTTAGTGCATGCATGGTCAGTCTAATCGTGGACCTTATCAATTGAGAGAGAGCAGCTTAGCTCAGTTGGCTAATCTAGTGGTAGCCACTGTGTGTGCGCTGAACCATGGAGATTTCTAGTTCCCGGTTCAATTCCCATCCCTGCCTCTCCTTGTGTTTAAGCTGGAGGGCTGAAATACAAGTTACAATAGCGCACCATCTATCGGATGGGACGTATAAGCCATTGGTCCGTGTGTATTTATGGCCCAAGTGCACGTTAAAGAACGCAGTACACTCTTCAGAAAAGAGTAGGGGATTGTCTACCGGTGTACTGCCCAATCACCACCAGAAAGACCCTACTGGAAATAAGTCTTCTTCTAGACTTTCATGGGATATCCTGGGTATTTACACCGAATAAATCCAATCCAGTCCATGGTCTAATTGTGGATACATTATGTGAAAAGTTAAGCTATGCGTGGTAGTTGCAAATATTCACGAGAACCTTAATTAATTTGTGCTGTTTTTATGCACATAGTTAGCATGACAAAACGAAAGAGAGGTTGGAGCAGGAAGGGTAAGAAATAAGAAACTGTGACAATGAGGTAGTGAGCATAAATAACAAATGGGAAAACAAATTTACAATCTATCAATTTAAAAGTTGTGAGTGAGTGAGAGGCAGAATAAACACAATCCGAAATACAGAAGGCACTATATATATTTGGTAAAAAGTTTATTCTAATATTTACCTGATAACTATCGGCACGCATGATATGTTTGGTATACTTGATGTGAATGGCGACGCCACAGATGCCTCGGTTTCCGATAGCGATATACCAGCATGCGCTGTTTTGAGGGCACCACAGTCATTTGCACCATCTCCACACATCCCAACACCATATCTAGAAACACAAATTCTACATTTCTCAACATTTTATTTATGAAACATTCATAACTGTTCCTACAGTATAGCTCTTTTGTTAAAAATGTTAAAACACTCAGCTGTCTGTCATTTAATTGGATGTTTACTAATGTTCCTTTATGGTTTTGTTTATGTATTCCCTTTTGCTTTACATTTGTACTTAAAGCCTAGGCCTATGCCTTTTTGATCTCAGGCTTCCAGTTTTTTTTTTATCGATTGATGTGACTGTATTATTTAGTTTTGTTTTGTGTTGTGATGTGTGCGTTGTTTCAAAAGTTAGTGATTTCCAAATAAATATTCACCAAGGATAAACCAGGAAGTCTGAAGACTTATTTCAGGATCCTTCTGGTTGTGAATTTGGCAGTACACCGGCAGACAATCCCTATTTTTTCCAAAGAGTGTACTGCATTCTTTAATGTGCACATGGGCCATATTGCACACCGCACCAATGGCTTAAACGTCTCATCCGAAAGAAAGTGGGCTATCGTAATTTGTATTTTAGACCTCCAGCTGAAACACAAGGAAAGGCAGCGATGGGAATTGAAGGGGGGAACCTAAAGATCTCCACAGTTCAGCACACACACACAGTGGCTACCACCTGATTAGCCAACAGAGCAAAGCTGCCTTTCCTTTTATTATGAATATACTGAATTAGATATTGATAGCTGGCTCCTAGAACTTATGCTTTTGCTCAAGGCTAACTAAATTTACCCCAGGTCCTGTAGAGCCTCCACCAGCTGACGTTTTTGGTCTGGTGACATTCGTGAAAATACTGTTCCTTTCTGAACAATCTATACATGAATGTAAAATTATCATAATCACATTAATTTTACATCGTTTGTTGTCTTTATCATCACTATCATTGTCATTATTGTCATCATTATGTGGCTGCCACCACTACCACCACCAACACCATTATCCTCATCATTACAACCATCATCATCACAAACAACATCATTAACAGCAACAAAATCACAACCATCATCACCATCACTGTCTCCACCATCATATTTTATAACAGTGTTCATTTCATTCAATTTTAATTTTTTTACTGAATATATCTACAATGTATTGACTTTTTTTTTAGTCTTTTTATTCAGGAAGCCCTTCACAAGCTTTTGCTTTTTGCTTCTCTTCAGAAATTAACATTTATCTTCTTATTTAGAAGCTGCACATATATGAAAAAAGAGAAATAAATGTTACGTTGAATTGAATTGAATCATCATCAATACCAACATCATCACCATCACCAATATACACAATATCAACTTCACCATTAATGTAATCAGAATTTCATTCTCTCATTTTACCTTTGGCATAATATCTGCAAAATAACTTCTAAGAACTGAGAAGGATTTGCCATTAGTTGCAAAATGGAAATTCTTTGATACATCCAAAAGTTTGTCCTCATATGAACTCTGAAATGTATGATGTATATTACATAACTAATATATAGTATATATAATATATAAATTTCATTTTATACATTATATATATTACATATACAATAAAATAGTAATAAAACGCATAAAGCAAAAGTGTAGAGTAGCCGTAACTTTGAATGGTAAAAAACACAAACGTTTTCGGGCATCGCCCTTCATCAGGTGGTGATGTATATATATATATCTACATCTACATATTTAGAGAAAGCTGAAGGGGTTATCTCTAATTATACCTGCTCTGAATTTTGAGCCAACGAAGTTTCAGATGTGGCTGGCTTGACAACGGTTGGCATCATGTTACCATATTTGGTTGTATCATCTTCACCCTGCTCTTCAAAGATCTGAAATGAAGACAAATAAAAATAATAAAACATCTTTACATCATTCAATTAAATTACTTACATTATTCTTGTGTTTACCTCCACTTCTTAATTTACTCACCCATTTTGTTGCTTCAAACATCTTCAGATCTAAAGGATCGCCAGTGAGGTTACCTTCAATGATGGTCAGTGAATGACAAGCTGCCATGCAGGCAAGGAAGGGGCCACGAGGAAGTTCATCAGCATTCTGAATTAATGGCAGGAAGTGATCATCTTGGATTGGTACCACACCCAACATGTCCAGACCATCTTCTGTGAGCGTCCCAGTCTGAAGGTGAATGTACATTCAGTGATATACTGTATGTAAGCAATGGTTTAAAGATTGGCATTGGGTTTTAGTAATGATATAGCAATCCAGGCTGCTATGATAACTACAGTAAAACGTCCATTTTACGTACCCCTTGGTACTAAGGGGTGTTCGTAAATTGAAACATTTGTAAATTAGATCGCTTGTCAGTTTCCAATACCTAAGCCTAGCTATCCCCTTAAATTGAGCGCTGATAGGCTGATAGTGCAGCAGCGTGGTCTACAGCGCTAGAGCCCAGTTGGATTTACCTTCGATAAAAACCAAATTATTTTAATCGCTGGCATTGTTCCACTTAACATGCATGTTTTATAGACATTTCTATCGTGCTCTTTTTAGTTGTTAGATCGCCAAATTGTGTTGTTTACATGCATTTCGCGATCATATCTAGCATTCATAATGTCAATAAGTTGCTGACCCCAACACTCTCATTTGTCATCGTAAACATGTGCGCTCAATCCGATGACACTTGCATTGTTAGTTCGTTGTTCTGGTTAGGTTTATTACATTAATATAGTGATTATTATACCAGAAATGGAAGAAAAGATCGAACAATTAATAAATAAATACAACAAACTTGATATTATTAAGAAAAATATATATAATCACTTTGTAAAACGTGCACTATCGGACTTTTTTACGGTAATAATTGGTCGATGATGACGTCGTCAGGGGAAAAGACCATTCGTTATACTGTATTCAGGAATTTGAACCCCAAAGCTATACCTCAACTCCACATTAACATGCATTACAAAGACATTAGACAATAATTAACATGCATTACAAAGACATTAGACAATAATTAACATGCATTACAAAGACATTAGACAATAATTAACATGCATTACAAAGACATTAGACAATGACCAACCTTATCAAAACAGACCAATTTAAGTTTGCCACACATGTTAATTCTCTGCGGACTGATACAGAAGATGCCAGCTTTCTTCAAGCGAGACTGTGCATAGATGGTGCCGACTGTCATGGCTGCAGGTAACGCTGGTGGAACAGCGATGGTGATTATATCTAATGACTTGTATATGATATCTTTAACATGTGCCTAATTACGAGAGAGGAAAGGCATATAAATACAAATACAAGGGGCAGTCTCATTTATTAATGCTATACCTTTTTTAAAATGTAAACATCTTGTATTTACCCAAGGATACCAGTTGGTTTTAAAGCAGGTGACATGCACACCAAATGTAACATCTACTATACCATAAAGCTTCTTACCGTACCTTATTTCTCAAGAGGACAGGGATGGTGTACACGAGACCGATGACCGCAAGACACCCAAGCACCATCACAAACCGCAGCGCATCTTGATAGAATTTGAAGCCTAGGTTCTTTGGGTAAAGGATTGAACGAACTAACTCACCTTTAGCTGTCTCAAAGCCTGGAAATTCAATAAACAACATTTCATGTTACGTGTTTATTTGATGCTATCAATATTGGAAAGTCTAAAAAGCATCCAAATCCAAATCACTTTTAACTAATAAAAATAAATACATGTTAATTTCTCCTTGTTTTAATAAAAAATTGTGAAGTGCAATTTAATAATTCTGGTAAAAAATTCTATATTAAATGGAAATTTAATGTAAAATTTATATCTTCATTGCAAATTCATTCAAACATTAAAGAAAAGCCTTTAAAGCATAAATTATTGCATATGTACCTGTTCTTGCAACCACAGCACAGACTCGCTCACCTCCATAATACCTGGTCTGTATCACCTGTGTACCACAAAACAAGGTGTGGCGTTTGTGAATATCAGGTGAGTAGCATACATCGGCGCCAGGATGGTTGGGTAAAGGTGTCTTGGTGACGGGCACACTCTCACCTTTGTTAGAAAAAATATTGAAGATATTTAATATTCCTCTTAGACGTAGACATGGGTAAACTGCTTTTATGGGTAATGAGAAATGTATGCTTTTACTATACAGTTCCTCATAAATATTAATTTAGTAATAACAGCATTTCATTTCAAATCCACTTGGTAAGAGGTGCGGTAGAAATACTACTTACCTGCGATTACCGCACCCCTGCCTACGCATAAACTGTAATACAGATCGAAATATAGATGGACGCTTTGCTTTTTAATATTTATGATATAGTAAAACAAATAAAACATGGGATATATTTTTGTAAAGCAGTGAATTCTACTTCCCTCTTTGTTGGATAAAATTATTGGCTTATACACCAGGAATTATACTCTCTATGCCTTTAATGCCTTTACCTGTTAGCATGCTTTCATTGACAATGCAGTTACCAGCGATAAGAACAGCATCACAACTCATCATACAGCCATTTGGAGGAACTAACAACACATCACCAGGAACAAGTTCACTGCTATCAATCTCACACACAGCTGAAACACAACATGTGTTAGATCAGTCTTCAGTGATTGGATAAACATTGAAAAGAAACATAATGATTAGCTGATAGCACAGTTTTTGCTGAATTATTAGTTAATTAATCTATTTTTATCAATCTTGCATACAGCTGGAACACAACATGTGATAGATTAGTCTTCAGTGAATGGATAAATATTTAAAAGAAACATTATGATTGGCTGATAGCACAACTAATTTATGATTAACTAACTATTCATTAAGTATTAAAAAAAAACCATGAAAAATTACAGTACAGCATTGTTTGCAATAAGAAAATTACGTTAGAGTTCAAATGATGACATGACGATTAACTTCCAACAAATATTAAATACCTACTGTCTGATAAGTTCTCTAGTAGTAACCACATTAGCCCATATTATATATTTTTATGAGATTATAAATTGTTACCACTGACAACCTACCCCCACTGGACCTCTGTACTGTGACTATGCTACTCTGGGCAACCATATCCCGCAATGTAACAGCTTGCTGCAAAAAATTAACAACTTGCAATCATTTTTTGACATTTAAGAAACATGTAAATTCTTCTGTCTTAAATTTACTGGTAATTAATTTAAGGATTTCTGTAAGTCAGTTAAATCTTATTTGCATTGATCTGTGTTTTATTTGACGATAAAAGCTATGTTCTCACACGGCAGCTAACGGTTAGCAGGATCCAGATCCTGCTAACCGTTAGCTGCCGTTCGTCCATACGAGAAAACCCCGATCCGGATACTAAGAATATGATAATCGAATCACTAGCCAATAAGAAACTGGAAATTGTAAACATGTACGTGTGATTGGTTGATGATAGAAACGTGCTCACTTGCTAACCGTTAGCCCTTGCTAGCTGTTAGCGGTATTCGGATACTGCTAACGGTTAGCGCTAACCAATCGGGCGTTCTCACGCAGGTGCTAACGGTTAGCGCTAACGGTTAGCTCCCGATCCGGATACTAGGGCTCTCGTGAGAACCAGGCTAATAATTTGCATAGTTCGCTTAGGGTGGGTATGCTGCAGGTCATTCAACCTTAGTGGAGGAGTGATATCCCCATGATGCATAGTACCATTGTATTGTATATTGACCAAAGATCGCACTTGCAACAATAAAAGAAATTTAACTTATTTGATCGTTTTAAATTGTAATGGTAACAGCTGAAGACATGCATAGTGGTGGACTGTAATTAAAGTCTTTCAATATGTTATGATGGACAGTATAATTGATGTTTACCTTATGAGTTTCATAGAGAGAGATGACGAGTGAAATTGCTGATATAACAATAATGCATGCGGCATAGTAATAGTAATCCTCACAGAACCACAGAATAACACTGAAGATTTGGAATATGTAAAACGGATTCAGAACCTGCAATTAAAGAAAATATATTTTCGTTGAGTGGCTGAGTGGTAAGGTAGGGGTGCTACTAGCTACAGCCTTAACATTGGCGCTGGTTCTAGCCGCTCCTCGGCCATGGCCGGTTGGTAGAACCAAGTCTTCTCGGATTAGGAATTAAAATGGTGGTCCAGAGTATACATCTGGCACATGTGCACTTTTAAGAACCCATTGCATCTTTCAGAAGATTAGGGGGTTAGCCCGATGTTATGGTTCATTCCAGCTGCTGTCGTTATGGAATGATGTGAACATGTATCTACCAAGAAGCGCCTCTTAATGGCTGCCAGGTAGTCACAGACCACACCTATACGCAATTCAGCACAATGACGCTGAAAGTTATGGGTTATTCTCCTACAGTACCTTTACCTTATATGTTCTAGTAAAAATATGGTTTGGGGGTTAGAGTGCCGTTCAAGACAGACGAAAAGTCGGCAAAAATCAGTCTAGCAAATGAAGCTGGCAACTCAAGATTCTTATAAAATGGTATGAAGTGTAAATAATTTGGTGACTTCAACACTCCTTCCAGTACTCTATGCAAATTACAGCTGGTCAAGCATAGGCTCTACTGTTATAGTAATATATGATTTAATTATTCGTTCAAATATTTTCATAACTAGAGGAAGTAAGAGTAACTGGTCTCAAGTCATTAGGCTGCTTGGTGCTCTTGTTCTTTGGTACCGGACATATTGTGGATTGCTTCCATAATTTTGGTACAATACATGTGTTTAATAAGGACTGAACGGGGAGAACACCACAAAGTTGTTTATATGCCCTAAGTTTATATGCCCTAAGTATGCTCGTAGACTGGTCACTGAGCAGCACCATCATATCCATATATTGGCATGCTGATGTCATATCACGCCCATACAGTATATGGGCATGCTGATGTCATATCACGCCCATACAGTATATGGGCATGCTGATGTCATATCACACCCATACAGTATATGGGCATGCTGATGTCATATCACACCCATACAGTATATGGACATGCTGATGTCATATCACACCCATACAGTATATGGGCATGCTGATGTCATATCACACCCATACAGTATATGGGCATGCTGATGTCTTATCACACCCATACAGTATATGGGCATGCTGATGTCATATCACACCCATACAGTATATGGGCATGCTGATGTCATATCACACCCATACAGTATATGGGCATGCTGATGTCATATCACACCCATACAGTATATGGGCATGCTGATGTCACATCACACCCATACAGTATATGGGCATGCTGATGTCTTATCACACCCATACAGTATATGGGTATGCTGATGTCATATCACACCCATACAGTATATGGGCATGCTGATGTCATATCACACCCATACAGTATATGGGCATGCTGATGTCATATCACACCCATACAGTATATGGGCATGCTGATGTCATATCACACCCATACAGGGCTTGCCCTAACTTTTTTTGGTAACTAGCCCACTGGGCTAGTTTACTAGAGATTTTACTAGCCCACAGAATACTTTACTAGCCAACAGACAGGAAAAAATTTTGTTTTAAAATATTTATTAGCGACAATTAAATTTGAAGGTTGATTTGCAATTTAATAATTTCTGTAGCATTGCTGTTTGAGCTACCCTCTCAAAATATTGTTGAATAAATAAATAATAA